TTCCCCCCCCCCCCCCCCCCCCCCCCCATAAAGAAAGTCTTAACGATGCAAATTTCAAGTTGGATTTAAAACTATTTGGACCTGGTAACCCAAGCGAGGAGTCACTTTCTTTTTTCTTTTTCTTATTCCCTGAAGCAAAATATTTAAGTTGATCAAAATATTTAAGTTTTTCCTTTACCCTTATTTATTCATCAGAATTTGTTGTTCTTATCTTGGTTTTAGAACTAAATAAAGAGTTCAAAGATAAGAGAAAGAAACATTACAATGAGTATTCCAAAGTTAAACTTGCAAGGAAACTTATAGAACAAGAGTTGAAAGATCTAGAAGATGCAGATGACTCTGTAGCAAACAACACTAAAGAAGGACCAAGCTCCTCGCAAGATGCTGCTGATACGCAGGTAATAAAAAGCATCTGTTGTAACAATCAAACCAGTTGGAGCTTTCCATGTGACAAATAGTGGTTCTGATTCTTTCAATTGGTCAAATTTTGAACGTTAAACTGACTAATTAATCTAATCATGATACTGAGACCTTTGTGGTGACTGATGTTGATCACTGAAATGCCCAATTACAGTCAAACCTCCTGTTAATGACCAACCAGAAATGTGAAGCCTGGGTGCTTGCCCCTGTGGAAATCCCATATGGAAAAGTTGGGGATTTTGGTTGTCTCGCTTAGGGGTGTAAATCACAGATTTTTGTCTCACTATAAGGGGGTTCAGGACAAAACGACACTATGTTTAGCTGTCAAAGTATATTTTAGAGTGAACTTGAAGAAATAATAAAAATACTGTCATTTCCATTTTAAGTGGTATCTCTTAAGGGTCAAAAAAGCTCAAGCCATGCCTAGATTGGTCTCCTTTAGGGGCTCAATAATAAAAATTTCCCAACAAGCTTCCACGACCTTTTCATAAGGGAGTGCCTTCCCTCCCCCCCTGGGGGTGGTTGTGTGTAAGTCATAGCCTGTGACAGTGAGCCATACATATATAGATCAATCTATGAACACATCCAAGCACACTTCTACGATAACTGTAGAAATTCTTGTGCGCTTATTGGCTAATTTTCATTGTCAATATGCGGACTGACACATGAATTCATAATTTATGTGATGTATCAACAAGCAAGAGTGGACAATTTGTTACTGTGAAAAACAAGTTGACATCAGTTTTTCATGTGTCTGTCCTGTTATTGACAATGAATTTTGAATTTTGTCATAACATTGTCAAAGTAGTCTGTGGATCCACAGCTACTTTGACAATGTTATGATGACATTCATGATCAATAACAGGACATATGCATGAAAAACTGATGTCAATTTGTAAATTTTGATTGTTCAATGAGATTAACCTTTGAAGTTACCTATGAAGTTGAAGTTGAGTCATTCAATATTATTTTCATCCTTTTGATTTTCATTTTAGCAGTGGAGCTTCTAAACACTGATTTTGCCATGTATTTCCCCAGATGTCTTAATTATTTTCTTTTTAGTGTAAATTTTCTCTAAAATAGCAGCATTTTACCAGATGTTCAATGTCCTTTTCATTCTTTTTTGTTCCCTTTTCAGATGGATGAGACATAAGGAAGGCTAATAAGTGAATACACGTCGTGTTTTTATTGTAATAAATTGCTAAAACAATGTTGTTTGGTCAGATACTGTACACTGGAGAAGAAATTAACAGCAGATTGTAAACAAATGTACATAAAAGTGTATTGACATAGCAGATTATATCAAGAAAGAGTACCTCTAGCAAACAGCTTATATAGCACAATGCAAAACACTGATTCCACTCAAATTAAATGTTAGAGCGACAACAAACCTTGAAACAGTTATTTGTAAACTAATGAACTCTGTCAAGTATATAATATATGCTTACAATCAGTGGAATACAGCCATGTTTCTATCCAAATAATTAACCTTGAATTCACTCAGATAGCACGAACGGACAAATTCAGTTTAAGGGAATTCAGTCTTGCTTGCGCTCACCCTCAACAGGAACTCAGTGTATTCTGCTGCTGTTTAATGTAGCATGGTCGCATTGTTTCATGATCAAATGATAGCATAATGATGATTTTACAGCTAGCTAGTAGATGTTCACTTTGAAATCACTTTGAAATGCAAAATAACTATAAAGAATAAAAACCTCAGTTTATACACCTCAGGATTGTGTGGGTCTGCCAATTGGGGGAGTGAAATTTATGTTACAACAGACTGCTGTACATGATCTTAATTGGATCAGTCTTTAGACAGTGTTGAAATGGAGTTTTCTTCCTCCTCTAGGGAACACCTGTAGTCATGACAACTTTTGAGGAATACATTTGAGTAACAGCTGGTTTTTTCTACTCTGTTAAATTTTAAAGGCAGCCTTGATGTGTTTATGAAAGCTAAGAGCAAGATTCAGTGATATTTTGAAAGTGATCAAGATAAAGGACAATGTGCTCTTGAAAATAAGAGAAAACATGCCCATTATGACCAAGCTCAATCACTATGTTAATGTTACTTTCTGTTCTGTTCTTGGACAAGATGGTGGGCTTTATTCATACAGTGCTTCCCTATACTCAGGGCAGGGGTGAGGAGGACTCAAACAATGACCTGTTACGGAAACCTGATCAAATGCCGGGAGGGGGGAACTTATAATAATAATATCGGTTATAATGATAATAATAATAATAATGATAATAATAATGATAATGATAATGATACTAATGATATTAATAATAATAATAAGTAACCTATATCATGCAGATATCAATTTAACATTTTCAGCTGCGCGTCACAATGTTTAAGGAAATATAACTACTTATAGACCCTCAATATTACTTAAACATCCTAAAAACATCTCTAATACAAGTTCTTGTTAAAATTAACAACGATTTTGATATACACTAATAAAATTATAAAATAACAGAAAAAAATTAACTAAGAAATGCCTTTTGAAACAGATGGGCTTTAATTAAGAGACTTTTTAAAACTATTTACAGATCTTTACAAAGAAGATATTTCTAATAAAAAGGGGAAGATTATTCCATAACTTGGGGGCAGCCATATAAGAAGATGCATGTTGGAAAGTTTACAAGTATACCATTATTTGAACTTAAACTATATCTTCCATTAGTGTCTTTAACAGATATAAGTTTGGAAATGTATGGCGGATATGCAATAGCCAGCATTATAATATAGATAGGACCCTGCACGTGCTCTGATTGGTTAAAAACCCATGTTTTATCAGAGTATAAAACATAGAAAAAGTGTGTTTTATTGTTTTTTGCAATATTACCTCTGTGCCACAAAACAAATGAAGAAGCCTAAGCCGTGTACTACTCGAGAAATGTAGAAAACACTCGCCTGCGGCTCTTGTTTTCTACATTTCCGTCGTGTTCTCAAATGCCCGTCATGTTTTATCACAGTGTAATACATGG